ATATAATCGGGGTTGCCCCTTCTCCCGCCCCGACTGGGGATTCTTATTAATCCTCGTCCCCGCCCCCACTCCTCTCCCCCGCTCCGTCAAAGCAATTCCCATCCCTGTCCCCGTCCCCATCAGGTCGGGGAAGTCGGGTCTTCATCGGGGATGGGGAAAATTGCCATCCCTAAATGTGTGCTCTAGTAAATGATCCTAATAGAAACACATAAGAGCACACAATTGTTTTATTTTTTTAATTTTTAAATAATTAATAATTATTCATATTTTATATACTATTTTTAATAAATTTTTTATAATACAAAAATAAATAATTAATTTCAGTTAGGTTTATTCATCAAATTGATGAAATCAACCAACCCGATCAACTTGATTAGAGTTGTTTTTCTAGTATTTTAGGTCGGCTTTGGTTAAAAAATTTCCCAATTCGACCAATTTGGATTAGCTTCACTTTGATCATTTGTAAACCAACCAAAATTGAACGACCTAACCATGGATATATATTAATATTTTATATAGAAAAGTATATTAATATTTCTCATATTTCTTAGTCTAAAATGTTTTATATCATAAATCTAATTTTTAAATATATTTTTTAATAATTGCACTATAATTTTTAAAATTAAATTAAAATTTTAAGTTTAAATCTTTTGAATTGACTGACCAAACAAAAAAATCAACCCAAACTGATACAATTTGAGTGGGTTAGATTTCACAAAAGGTCAATTGGTTTTAGTTGACCAACTCCCCAACCTAACCAAGTCAATTTGGTTGGCCAAATTGCCTATGACCGAACCGAACCAACTCACGAACACTCATAATTTCAACTAAATTAATAGTTTCATCTCTGATAAATAAGAATATTTTAATCTCCAATAATTATTGAAAATTTATAGCGAAAATACACAATTATTGAAAATATATTGATAATGAAAAAAATACAATAATTACAAAAATACCAATAAGTACCAAAAATATATTAACTTAGTCAATAAATAATATAATCTCAAATAATATTTTAATCTCTAATAAAAATTAATCAATAAGTTATAACAAAAATATAATAAATACAATAAGTACAATAAATTAAATTTAAAGTTTTCAATAATAGTAGTTTAATCTCTAATAATTATTAAAAGTTTTCTATTAAATAGCAAAAAAAAATGTATACATAATCATTGAAAATACATTTAGCATAAAAAACAATAAATAATTACTAAAATACAATAAATATTAATTTTAGTATATATAATTATATAATAAGTACAGATTAAGAGTTTAAAATTATTATAAATAAATATTATATTTTTAAAGTTATTTTCTCAAGTTATTACTTGATATAATTGAAATTAGTTATTTACAATATTATGTTAAATATTTTGTTATTTAAAATATTTATTTGTTTAAATACTTAAATAATATGTAAAATATTTAAAGTTTAAAGTATTAATTATTTAGTGAATTTAATTATCCATAAAATCATAATTTATACTATTATTATATAATTTCATTATTAATTTTGTAATATAGTAAATTATTATTAATTTCAATATTATGTATTAATTATTTTTCTACTTTGAAGATTTATCTTTAAATTTATTATATAATTTCGTTATTTTAACTATTTAAAATCTAGTTATGATAAATATTTAGTTATTTAAATATTTAAATAATCTATAAAATATTTAATTTTTTTTGTTATTTGAAATTTATTTACTTAAAGCTATTACATATTATGAAATATTTGAAAAACATTTAAAATGATAATCTAGAAAAGCATAACTTAAATTGTTAGTACATAATTTGGTGATATATTTTGTAAAAATATAAAATTAATTTTATGTTTTTGACAAATATTTTAAAGTTATTATATAATTTTGTTAGAATATTTAAATAATTCTTAAATTTTTAATCCAAACTTTTCTTTAGATAGATATAGATAAAAAGTAGGGGAGAGGATAAATAGGAATTAGAGATAATTTAGGAGAGAAACTCTCTACTAAGTTTGAGAAAATTTTGGAGAGAAACTCTCTACTAAATTAGAGATACTTTTGGAGATAAATAAGAATTAGAGATAATTTAGAAGATGAGTAGGAATTAGAGATAACTTTAGAGAAAGTGGGGGATAGTGGGAGAGGTAGTTTGGGAGAAATTTTAGGAGGAGAGTTTAAGTTTTTGGGAGAGAGAGAGAGAGAGAGAGATTTGCAACGCAACCAAACACAGCCTAGGCTCAGTTTGAAAAGTAATACAAAATACAAATATATAGAATGCAAAACCTTGCATTTTGTATGTATTTGCATTATACCTATTAATTTGTATTTGTTGCAACGCAACCAAAATACAGCCTAGGCTCAGTTTGGAAAGTAATACAAAATACAAATATATAGAGTGCAAAACCTTATATTTTGTATGTATTTATACTGTACATATTTGTATTTGTGCTATTTCCAAATTGAGGCTAAAGGTTATATTTGGTTTGATAAAAAATAAAAAAGAAATAGAAAATTGATGAAAAATTTAAGGAATTTTATAATTTTGTTAAGAATTTTCTCTCAATTTTTTTCGTTTCTCTTTAGTTTCTTTCAAATTAAAAATTGGCTAAGGGAGAGGTCAAAAACATTTAGATAGATGTTGGTGTTTTTTTTTGGGTAGAAGGCGGCTTTTGAAAACACAGGGCATGGTATTGAAATTGACCCATAATGCAACTTAAATTAGCCCCGTCATATTTTACCAAAAAAAAAAAAAACATTAACTCAGCCATTGCTTGTCACTTTGCAAATAGAACCTAACCCCAAGGTTCAAAACATCAACATGTTTTGTGTTACATGTTGCAAAATTCAAAGAAATTTTTCTTTTTCTTTTTCTTTTCTTAAGGGTCGGATCGAGTTGGTGAGGGAGAGTTTTGTATTGTTTGTAAGGGTGTCAATGGACCAGTTTTGGATTGGACCCCATTTAGTCCAAATATTGGATTGGACCAATCCAGTCCAAAATATTTATTAGATTGGATTGAACCTGGTCCATCCATAACAAATTTATATTGGATTGGGTTGGATTAAGCCAATATCTGGTCCATTGATATAAGATAAGAATATATGTATCAATGGGCCAGGTTTTGAAACAAAGCCAATCTAAATCAAAATGAATTTGAACAGATTGGACGGTCCAGACATTGAATTGGACCGGTCCGAATTGGTCCAAAATATTCATTGGATTGGATTGGACCTGATCCATTTATAATGAACTCACATTGGACTGGATCGGATTGGACCAAATCCAGTCCAATTGACACCCCTGATTGTTTGGGATTGGGGCAAGGTAGGCTATATCCTCCCCTATATTTTCTACTCTTTTGCGGTTTTTATTAATAAAATTTTAAGGTGACTGCCCCTCTACACGGAATAAAGCTTGGTGTTACAAATCCTGAAATTACTTTCGGGTTTCAACTTTCAAAATTTGAATTAGAGATGGTCTAGGAAGGGTATTCAGTATTCACAATTGCAAATGCCGTTCCCTTCTAAATCAAAATTTGAACCACGGATTACGTAGGAAGGATATTCACAACCTGCAAATGCAAATGTCCTTCCCTTTCTAAATAATTTTATGGGATGTTTCACAACATGAATGATTTTGTTTTTTAGGACAAAAAAAAAAGATCTACCATATCAGAGTTTAGCTTCAATTAGTGCAAAGTCCTTTCAAACAGTCTTGCATTGGAAATATTTTCATACTTTTATACTTTATTTCATGGGAAGATATTCCGAATGTAACAGCGTGAACACGGACTTGCACCGACTGAAGCCAATCTCACCATGTCAATGTCAACAAAACCAATGCATATATATTTGCTGATACCGCAGTTGTTTTTGCTTTAAAAATCATTCACATTGTCGAATACCCAAACTGATGTTCTCATGGATTCAAACTGTGATCTTTCAAACCCATAAACCCATCCCATCAGGGGA